AATTACTAACTTAATACTCAAGTATAACAGTTACAGAGGCTCAAGTAAGACTGGGTTGGTAATAGATACATTCACATTGCCAAGCAACGTTCTCCAGAACTTTTTCATCTGACAAAACCAATAACTCTAATATCGTGCTAAGCAACTTCCATTTTCTCCCTTCCCATGACCCTGGCAAACCTCTGTTCCACCTTGCTTCATATTTTGCTTACTCAGTCTGAGATGCCTCACATAAGTGAAAAAACACAAAGTATTTGTCTTTTGGTAACTGCTTATTTCCACTTACCATTACACTCCGAATGTTGCATCCATGCCTTAAGCATGTCTTAAGGATAATTTCCTGTCCTTTTCAAAGCGAAGAATATTTTAGGATGTAATCAGGTAGGTTACACACTTTTTATCATTCATAGAAGGGCTGCCTAATGACAATAGCGTGCATCCATGACTTTTGATGGTGGAATACCACCTGCCATATAAGATCATGAACAAAATATTTGTAATAGACCTATTGCTTTAAACAATTTTCTTGCGCTAATATATCCAGAAAGTGAATGCTGGATCATTTGGTATTCTCATTTTTAATATTTTTGATCTCTGGTGGGCCAGGTTATAGTAACCTACCCTGCAAAGGTCAATGAAACTGAGATACCACAATAGGAAAGAGGACTGACAAATGCAGTCTTCTCAGAAAACAATACATTAGATAGGCCATATTATGAACAGAACCAAATCACAGAGTGAGAGGAACAACACAAGACAGAGATGTGATCCGTTAGCGGATATAGAGTTTTGGTTTTGTCAGATGAAAAAGTTCTGGAGATCGGTTGCATGGCAATGTGAATGTATATTACCCAACCCAAGGGTCCTCCTTGACCTCTGTTCCAACTGTATACTTAGAAGTGATTAAGTTAGTAAATTTTGTATATATTTTACCACAATTCAGAATAGAATAATAATAATTATTATTATTATTTGAGATCCCTCACTCTGTTGCCCAGGCTGGAGTGCAATAGCGCCATCTCAGATCACTGCAACCTCCGCCTTCTCGGTTCAAGCAATTCTACTGCCTCAGCCTCCCGAGTAGCTGGGATTACAGGCAAGCAACTCCCATTTTCTCCCTTCCCCATGTCCCTGGCAACCCCTGTTCCACTTTGTTCTATTAGTTTGCTTACTCAGTCTAGATGCTCACATAATGAAAGAACACAGTATTTGTCTTTTTGTAACTTGGCTTATTTCACTTACCATAACGTCCTTGATGTTCATCCATGTTACAGCATGTGTTAGAATTTCCTTCCTTTTAAAGGCTGAAGAATTTTTATTTGTATGTATATACCACATTTTATCAATTCATCTGCCTATGGACCAATTAGGGACTGCAGCCATCTTTTGATGAGTGTGAATACCACTGCTATAAATATCAGTGTACAAATATTTGTATGAGACCTTGCTTTTCAATTATTTTGGCTATATATCCAGAAGTGATATTGCTGGAATCATTTGGTAATTCTATTTTTAAATTTTTTGTTTCTGGTGGGCAGGTTATATAAACCTACCTGCAAAGGTCAAGGAAACTGAGATACCAAAGAAAGAGGCTGACAAATGAAGTTTCTCAGAAACATACATTTAATAGGCATTTATGAACAGGAACCAAATCAGGGATGACACCAAGACAAATGGTGGATCCCG